GAGGCTGGAGCGGGGAAAGGGGGGGCGAGGCCAGCGCTGCACTGCCAGCACCCATACTGCTGCCTCCAACGAGCAGGGCTGGGGCAACGAGGGCAGCACCGCTGGCCTTGCCACCCCCGCTCCACCGTCCCCACCACTGCCCATCAAGACTGATGGGTGGGGGGCCGGCAGGGACAGAGCGCCCCCCCAGCACCCCACAGTGCCGCTGCTCTGGCCCCGTGCACGCCCCCCACACACACATGCAGCCCCGTGTGCCAGAGCAGGGTGGGGGGCACCCTGCACCACTGCCGTCTCTAAGGAGCAAGGTCGGAGTAGGAGGGGGCCCACTGCAGCCCCTCAGTCCCCGCTGTCACATAAAATAGGCACACTAAGATGCACCCCTGCCCCCACAACACGTATGTCTACGTATACCCCTCTCCCCATCTACAAACGCTGCACCTCCGTCCTGCCCTGCCGCGATGCTGCCGGCTGCAGAGCTGCCCTAGCATCCCTGCTAGCAGGCCCCTCCTAGGCCGGGCGCGCTGCCTTGCATGCAATGAAGCGACTGCCAGCCCGGACTCTTTTGCCATTTGAACACCAAACCGGCTTAGGACATTTGTTGGAATTTCCGAAATAAACCTGAATGAATGGAACGCCAAACCAGCCCCTGGACGAGGCAAACCAGCGGGGTGGGTGTGCTATCAACGCAGGGTGTCGGCAGTGTGTTACTAAACACTTGGCAAGGACCTTTCGGGTGATTACAGATCAAAGCGCTGTTGCTTTTCTTCCTCCCTACTCAACCCAGCCTTCTGCACCCTCCACAAAGCGGAACTGCCCGGATTCCCCCTCTCTCGACCTCTGGGCTCTTTTTTCCCCCCTCGACTGTTTCCAAGTTTCCACCCAAGCGGGCCTGTGTAAGCCAGCGCATCTGAAAGGAAAAAAAAAACCCCCGTGCAAGAAAAAGCAGAAGTTTGTGCGTGAGGCTCTTGACAAAGAGCAACTTTACCGTGCAAACCCATGACACGCTAGAAATCCCCACGGATGGGATCCTGTCCTCCCCGCTGCCATTTTCCTTCTCAGGCCTCGTGCTGATGCTGCGGCTGCGCTTGCACGCGCGTGCACCAGTTGCTCCTGGGTGGCTGCTCTCCAAAAATGCAGGTCTGGGAAATATGAAGGACCTCTGGAGCTGGAGACCAGCTGCACCCAGCTGGGGAGGGGGAGGCAGCAGCGGCATGGACACAGCTCAGCAACTCCCCACCTGGCCCTGGCCCTGCTGCTTGGTGGAAGCACAGGCAAGAGACCCCCCCCCCGCTGCCAAACCCCCCAGCTCTGTGGGCCGTAGGCTGCTGACCCCAACCGAAGTCACCTGCAATCTGGGCACTGCCTTCGGAGACAGGTGCAGGAAGCCCTGCCATTATTGGCATGCCCCAGCAGGTCGCTGGCACAGCAGAAAATCATAGAGGTCCTTCCTAAAACTCAAACAAACGCAGGGACCTGGGAAGTGTCACGGCAGGAAAGCAGAACAGTTTTGAACCCCAGATAGTTTCCGAACCCCGGATATTCAACGTCATTCACATGGGAGCTGGATCCTGATGCTAACGGCTCCCCTCACTCAGAAGGAAGGGGGCAGACGCCAACCGCAGCGCAGGCCTTGACTGCAACCAGCAGCAAGAACTGCTCCCGGTCCAAAAGAGATCAGGGTCCCCGGGGAGCAGAGCACCAGCCTCTTCCAGCCTTAACCGTCTCCCTTCATGCTCGGAAAAGGAGAGAGGAACCAGGGTAGGAATTCAGCTAGGTTCAACGTAAAAAACATTGGCAATTAACCTGCCCTTAGGAGGAGACAATGGAGCCCCTGGGGAGCCCGCTATGACTTGCAGTTATGCATTTCTCTAATCGGAACATAACTACCGCGGTAATTAAAGAGCTATTTAAAAAGCAAGAGTGGGGGGAACCCGGGGCTGATCCCTGCCGCTTGCAGGGGGTCTCCTGGTTTGATTTACAAACCTGGTCTTTCACCACCGTCTCCCCCTCCAAGCTATCTATGGTAAAACAAGGCATCCATTTCTCCCAGGAGAAAGCTTTTTGTCCTGGGATCCTATAGAGAACAAGCCCGTTCTGCCACGTGGAGTACCTGCACGTATGCAAGGTAAAATACGCTAAGGCTATTTTTCCCTGGGACAAATCGCAGCTCATTCACACCGGGGGCAAGCTATTTGTGTAAAGGGCTGTGCCGCTCTTCTTTTGTCTCAGGTTTGAACTGGAATCAATGAGAATTGCCTCATCCCCATGGTCTTTTCCTACCCTTACGGGACAGAAGTCTGAATACTCTGCTCTGGCGCCAGGAGTCCCAAAAGCGCAGGTTCACATACACCCGACGGGGCTGGAAATCCACCCGTGAATGGGATCAGGCCACTGCCGTAGGTAAACCCTTGACGACGAGCCCTTTAACTATGCCAGGCTTTTAGCGGCACAATCCCCTACACGTTACTCCTCTGCAACTCAACTGGCCGAGATACTGTTAACCCCAATTTACCGCACGTTTTACCCGAGCCAGGAACGAAGGACACGCAGGGTACGCCGTGAGCCTGGCATGTGGCAGCAAGGAGGGACTGGAAGGTTTGGCCGGTTCCTGCCTCCAATTCACCTCCCTGGCCGTGCCCGTCTCACGGATGCTCAGCGCGACCCTGATGAACCACAATAGCAATAATGGCAGGTAACGGAGGGGATGTTCACTTAGGGGCGTGATGGCTCCAAGCCATGCAGAAGCCTTCTCTTCTAGGAGAGCCCAGAGAGACAAGGCTCCCGTCATGCGAGGTCTCCACCTGGCAGCCTGCCCCCATAACACCTGCCCACTGGCTTTTACTCTGTCCCTGCCAGCCGTTTGTGACCTCCCGGAGAGACAGCTCCTAGATCCAACCACGTAGGGCTATGAAGGACCTCGCATTCGGGAGAACCACACCGCGGGGAACCAGGGCAGTGCTCCCGTTCATTTATCCCCTTCGTTTGGCCAGCTTGGCAGATCTGGTGTGGGAAATTGCACCTTGCCCTTTTTACAGGACATCAATAAAACACCTTCAAACAGC